CCCGCCCCCCCCTTTTGCTGCTACTCCTTCGCTCAGCTGCTCTTTCCGGCCCTTCTGAGGGGAGAAAAGGCAAAGGAGGAGCGGAAGGGCTCTGCCTGCCTCTGTGGGAATCCTCCCCTCTTCTCTCCGTGGCCTCCTGTCTGGGACGTTCTTGAAAGGGGCCCCGTGAGATCTCGTGCGCATGGACAGCCAGGCTCCAATGCCAGCCTGCTGCCCGCCTCACTTGATCCTGGTTGCCTTTCCCTGCCCCACCAGCTCTTCCTTAGCAGTCAGGATCCAGTCTGAAAAAGGCAGTCCCTTTGCCTCTCTCTCTCTCTCTCTCTTCTCTGGGAAGAGGATCCTGCAGATCTAGTCCAGGACCTGCCTGGCTTCACTGCCTCCGCAGATCCCCCACCACATCCTCCACTGTTTCTCCTTCCTCAACTGGGCCCACAACCTGGATGCCACTCCCAGGGCACCCCGACTCCAGACCTGCTGCTGCTGCTGCTGCTTTCCCCCTTCCGCCCCTGGCTTTGGAATGAGCCGCTCCTTCAGCCTTTGCGCATCCTGGGTTTCACTCCGCCATTGTTTCAGTGGGGCACCGGGTCCCCTTTGCTTCCCACACGATGACTCGGGCTCCGCCTGCCTGTTCTGCTTGTTGGTCTCCTTGGATAGTATAACTTGGCCAGTTCTTTTCCGTGTGCCAGGGATACGGCAGCTGTGCGAGGGGAATGCCCACTGGGCAGGGGTGGGGGAGTGGCTTGCCAGAGGATGGTGATGCCCCACAGCACAGAGCCCCCCCGGAGCCCCTGCTTCGTATCGAATAGTCACAGGGCACCGCAGGCAAGTCTTGGCCCTCCGAGGCCGCCTCCCCTCTTCTTAGCCCTAAGAGAGGAAAGGGGAGGAAGAGGTCCCGCCTTCCCCCCTCCTTGGGAAGAGAGGCCGGGTTGGAGTTGGGAATCGATCCGGCCTTGGACGGTCCCTGGCCCTTGTGGAGCATCTGTGCCAATGTGGTTGAGACGGATGGACTGGGGGGGCGACAGAGGGTAGGGGGCTTCTCTGGAAGGGGGCCTTCCCCGCACTTCCCTGCCAGGTGGTATTCAGAGGTGGATCCATTCCGGGGGGCTCAGCGGGGCCTGGGATGGGCCTCTCGCGGCCAGCTGCTGGTCCAGCCATGCTTTGCCACTTTCTGTCTCCTCAGCTTGGCGGGCTGCAGTTTGACAAAGAACTGAGGTCCCTGATAGCCTATCTGACCACTGTCACCACCTGGACCATCCGTGACAAGTTTGCCCGACTCTCCCAGATGGCGACCATCCTCAACCTGGAAAGGGTGGGCCCTCCAGCTTTGACCCCCTAGGCGGGGCAGCCGGGCGGGAGGTGGATGGGCCAAAGACCAAAGGAGGCAGGGCAGCGGCTCTGCAGCCCTCCGGATGCTGTCCAGTCCTCTGCCAGACGGGCAGACAGTATTTTGCTCTCTTTTTAGGTAACAGAGATCCTGGATTACTGGGGGCCCAATTCGGGCCCTCTGACGTGGTGCCTGACGCCAGCAGAGGTCCGCCAAGTGCTGGCCCTCCGGATTGATTTTCGCCATGAAGACATCAAACGGCTGCGCCTGTAGCTGTCCAAGAGCAACTTCCTTATTTTTATTTTTATTTTTGGAAAATGCGTTGCTCCTTCCAGCCAGGACTGCTGCTGGAGCAGACAGAAGCTTTGCCACTCGCCGCCTTCTTGCTAGGGAAAATGGGATGCTGTTCTGTTGGAAAGTGGGAGGAGAATTGTCCTAGCCAGCAACCTCAGCTGGGTTTGGGCTTCTTACTTAGCTGCATTTGTGCAAGATGGTGGCCCACTTGCCCAGCGCAGTTCTGCAGAAACCCAACATCCCAGGCTTGGGAGGGGTGGTCAATTCATGGCAGCACCCCCCCCCCCAAGAGAAAAGGTTTCCCAGACCACGATGGAAAGGCCCCTTCCTCTTGGGGCTTGGCCCAGGGCTTTGCTCTTGACTGGGGTTGGGGTGGGGTCAGGAGTTTAGCTGGCGCTTTGGCCAGCCGCCTCCTGGAACCTGTCATGGGTGCTGGGACCCCAGAGGCCAACGTGGAGAAGGCTAAGTGAGCTGCAGACCCAAAGGAATTTAAAATAAACTTGCTAACACCATAATGCTGTTGTCACAGCTCCAGCAAACACACCCCAAGGAATCAAAACTCCCAAGGCCGGCATCTACCTCAAAGTATAGATTTATTAGGCATGTTATATTGGCACATCTGGGGGAAACCTGACTCTAGAGGACTCGAGTTTTCCCCACCCAAGTCAAACCCCACCGTTCTTCCCCTCAGGTCCCACGTCCATCACAGGGTCCAACCAGGTTGCAGCCACCATCTTGGCTGGCTTTGGTCCATGCCTCTCCAACACCTGGAAGACCATCGCTGGCTCCCACGGGAAAGAACATCGTTTTGGCCACACCTCCCATTATCTCCACCTCCCCCTTTTAGTTCTCACAGCTCCCACTGGCCTGGCTGTGGCAGCACTGAAGATGCTCCCAAAATGGCTCTAGGGCTGACCGCTGTTTGACAAGCGGACAGTATGCAGGTGTGGGTACAACTCTCAAACAGCTTAAATGGGCGCCTTGCGGAATTGGTTTCACAGTTTGGGCTTTCTGTTTAGGAGAAAAGAGGGAAGACGGGATATAGCCACCTTCCAATATTTGAGGGGCTTCCCATAAGGAAGAGGGGGGTCAACCTATTCTCCGGAACCCCTGAAGGCAGGACAAGAAGCAACGGATAGAAACTAATCCAGGAGAGAAGCAACTAAGGAGGAATTTCGTGACAGAACAATTCGTCCGTGCAACTAGTTGCCTCCTGCAGTTGTGGAGGCTTTTAAGGGGAGGCTGGGCAGCCACTTGACTGGGATGGTGGTGCAGAGTCTCCAGTTGAACAGGGTTGGACTAAAAGACCTTCGAGGCCCCTTGCAACTCTCTTAACTGTAATTGGCCATCGGCTTAGATGGCAGACAAGATTGGGCCAGTTCACAGAGGAAGCAGCTGTTCCCAGCAGCTGTTCTCTTCTGCCGACTCCCTCCAGGGAAGACAAGGGGGCAGCTTGAATGCCAAAGTAGCCACCTCCGCCGGCTGCCCTTGGCTCTCCTGCTTGGCTGGTGGTTGCAATCCAGTCTAACTGGCCTCTGGCTGACAGCATAGCTACTCTGGCTTAGCTATTGTAGGTGGAACATCATGAGGAGATGGTGTAAACCCATTGCTGAGCCATCAGGAGGGGAAACCAGGGCTTTAAACGGGGAGCAGATTTTGGTGGGAGAATTTCCTGCAGACTGGAGCTGCTTGCTAGTGAGGATAGGGTGAACTGCTCTCTTCAAGCAGAGGCTGGGCGGCCATTGGTCAGGGATGCTGAAATGGGGGACTCCTGTGTTGGGCAGAGCTATGGCTAGAGGATCTCCATGAAATCCCTCCATGAATCGGGATTCTGTGGATCCCATAAGAGCAGAGCCCAGGGTAGAGGGGGCCTCGAGGGTCGTTGGAACTGGTCCCTGTGCTCAGGGCAGGCCTCGGTTTCAAGGCCTCCCATCAAGAGGGCACCAACCGCCTTGGTGGCCGATGGCTCTGCCAACCCCACTCGCCGCTTGCAGTCCAAAGCTTGGAACAGGAAGCAGATTTTCTTACTCTGTTGTTGGTTCCTGTCCTGCCTTTCGGTTGCCCCAGAGAGGCCTCCTTCCTTCTCTTTGCGATGACCCATCAAGCCTCCCCTTGTGTCTTCTTCCACAGCTAAATGTTAGCCTGTTGTCTTAGTAGCCCCTTCTCTGAAGCAGCTATGCCTGTATGGCATTTCTTTTGTTGCTGGGGGCTTTCTTGCAATTTACTTTTCTAAGTGAAAAACAAAACCAGGTCCCAGGCTCCCAGACTTGAAATTTTAATTTACTACAAGAGCCATTTTCTCTTGCAACATCTGTTCTGACCATTTGGCTGGGACAGGACCTGCTGCAGCTGTTTCAAGGGGTCCGTTTATGATGTGTCCTTCCTAATACGGTACAATTTCTGAGATTACAAGCAATGTATTGATACTTTGAATTTTAAAATGCACCAGATCCTGATTAGTTCTTAAGAAAGCAACCAGTGCAACCTTTATCTTGTAATTGCAAAGGAATAATTGTGGGTATTCACAACCAATGTGCTGCTTGATTTGGGGACCCATTTGTGTGAAAAACAGATTTGCCAGGCCGAACGTTGCATGCTTCGTACAAGAGATGCAGTCCCTGCTGCTTTCAGCTCTTTCCAAGAACTTCATCCCGCCGCTTGCTTGGTTGGGATCTGCAACACAGCTGCAGGTTGTCCCCACAGCAGAGCTGGTTCTTACTCCCTGCCTGGTGGCTGGTTCCTGCACCCCCTTTGTGGTGAGGGGGGGGGGGGCTGCTCTTTCACACCTCCAAAGTGTGCGGGTCCCCCAGAAGCTCCACCTTGCATCCCACCGGGTCCACTTCCACCGTGTGCAGGGTGAAATTTCCAAGGACCTGAAAGGGACACGGGGATAAATGGGCTTTGAGCTGGACATCTTCTGCAATTCATGCCCTCGTCGCCCTTTGTCTTCCTATGCCCCCGTGGGGAAGCCCTCGACCCCACGCCCCCCAGCCAGCCCCCTCCTTTAGAAGGTTTCTGCATTGACCTCCCCATAGCTCCCAAGCCTTCAGAGCATCCCTCTTCCAATGTGGGGACTGCTTCCACCTACCGCAGCTTCCGCCAGGACCTCCCGCAAGGCCACCCAGTTCCTGGGTTCTTTGGTTACCAGGCAGAGGAAGCCGCCCCCACCAGCTCCGGCCAGGCTCTGCCCATAGACGTGGGGCTGGAGCACCTCCATGATCTGCCGGACCACCAGAGGCTCACAGCCAGGGGCCATCTGCTTCTTCTGCAGCCAGTACCGATTCATACACTGGCCCAGCAGAGCCAGGTCGCCTGGAAGGAAAAGGTGAGGAGGGTGGCAGCACCCCCCAGCTGCTCTCCTCTGGGGAATGGGCGTCCAAGGGCCCCCACAACACTAAAGCCAGTCTGTGCATCTGGTCCCTGGGACACATCATGACCGTCCTGCTTGGCTTCCGGAGGGGAAGGGAGAGGACGGACTCCTGGATGCCGACTGTTTAAGGGCCTGGGGCATCTCTGGGTTGTCCCCCGGCTCCCCTCCCTCCCACTTGGCCGAAGATGACTCCAGGTGGGTGCTCAGCCATGCCCTCTGGCAGCCCTTTTGCAACCAGGAAGATTTGAAGACCCTGGGTGTGGGCAAGACCCCTCTTAGCCCAGCCTTGGGCTTCCCTCCGCAGTTTATTCCTACCCCATTGACTTAGGAACCCTCAAAGTCTTTCTGAAACCAAACCGTGTCCTAGGGTTTCTTCCACAAGCACACTGACCCACCCCCCAAAAAATGTGGGGGTGTCCTCCAGCCATTCTCCAACTGGTCTGGGTTTCCCAGCTCCCTTCCTGGCACAGCTTCATCTCAAGTGTGGGTACCTTGTTTAAGGGCTTGGGCGCATTCTTCCGCATTGCTCACCAGGGCACTGGCGGTCTCTACCACGGTGGGCAGCCTGGCATACCAGTTCCTTAGAACATCCTGCAGAGAAACAAGGCAATGCCTTTCAGCACAAACCTCCCTTCTCAGATGTGTCTTTGCATTGATGGGGCGGGGGGGGGGGGCTGAGAGGCGCACCCTCCCCCTTGTGTCCACATTCTTGAGCTTTGGGGCAGCTGCAGGCAGCAGTCCTGCCACCGCTCCCCCACCCCACCCCGTGGGAGGTGCCCCGGAAGGTGATGCAGGAGGGCCTGGCAGCTGGAGGCAACCACCTGGCTGTGGACCTTCCCATCAACTGAGCAGGCAGGTTCCGGAAGAGGCGCCTTTGCTTGGGTCTGCTTCCCAAAGGGGAACCGCGTTCAAATGCAGCTGAGTGTGTGTGGGGGGGGATCTTGGAGAGAAGGTCAGGCAGGGATGGGGTTCAAGTGTCCAGGGACCCCCCTCTCAGTTTAGAATAGCTGGGGGGTGGCACTTGGAGCCCCTCTTGGTGGCTGTGGGCAAACAGCAGCACAGCAAATTAATGTTTCCAACATCAAGACTGCAGGAAAAAAAAGACTTGGGTAGCTGCAGATCACTCAAACTTGACCCTGTTTCTTGAAAATCCTGGAGCGAGAGATGAAATATGTGGTTATCCTTGTTTAGAGAAGAATGCACAGCTTGACAGGAGCCGGGATACCCTTAGCCAGACCTAATCTTGTTTGCTAAAGTAACCAGGTTAGCTGACCAGAGGAATGCAGTAGAGACACCATCTCTTTTCTTCAGTGAAGTATTCAAAAAGGCCCCAGAGGCCCTAATCAAGAAGGCAAAAGCGGCTGGGCTGGGCTGGACAGGCCATCATTCAGGGACTGACCAGCCAATCCTGTCAATGGCTCCATTGAAAGAGGGGCCAGAGGGGTCAAGTAGCTTGCAAGACTCGACCTGAATGAGGAGAAGAAGACAAAAAAAATCTGACTGAGGTTTGCAGAGTGGTTTACACAAAGCCTCTCAGCCGGGAAAGTCAAAGGTTGGGCTTGGATGGGGACCTGTAGGTAGGTTGGAAGATAAAGCTGATGGGATACAAGGGTCAGGGAAAGAGGCATCGACAGACATTGGGGCAAGAGCCAGAAAAGAAACCACACGCCAGCCAGAATATTTGGCCCTAGAATTTAAACGCCCTCCGTCTCGGGGACTATGTAGAAAGGACCCTCACCGGAGCCTTTCAGAAGGGAAGGAGATGATGAAGGGCCTGGAAGGAAAAGGAGCCACAGATAGAGATTCTTGGTGTGTTTAGCCCAGATTAGGGAGAGTTGATCAGAAGTATCAGGGTTTTCCAGAAAACAGGAGGAGAAAGAATTAACATAAATTACAAGGTAGATTTAGTTGGATGTCCAACACTAAAAGCTTCCCAACAATGGAACAGGGTATGTTGTGGGTCCCGTCTCTGTTAGGGATGTGCATCTGGTGAGACCATGAAAAAAGGCCTTATTGGTGGTGGCCATTTCCTTCTTCCCCCGGAGGTACAGTTGGGGCCCCCTTGCTGGCTTTGTCTGCGAGCCTGGGGACCATGAATGGGGGCAGAGTGGATCCAAGTGTGTTGTTGCTGCTGCCATAAGGTTGCCACTGAGTTACAAGGTTTGTGTTGTAGGTTTTAAAGTAGTAAGCCACCCAGAGTCTCCCGTGGGCAAGTTGGGTAACCATATAAATTTGTTTAAATCAATAAATAATAACAGACTAGGAAGGCCTCTCCAACAATCAACTGGTTTAGATTGAGGCTGGAGGAACATCCCTGCACCGGGCTTTTTTTTTCTTCTTTGCACTACTTCATCTCCAGAATTTCAAGCAAAGATCCACGGATTCTATGAACTCTTTGAAGAGACCAGGTCACGTCCACTGACAGTGAAGCACTGAAGGTAGGAGTGTCTTGGTGGGGATGCAAAACGTCTCATTCAGACACTCCGGTATTATTTTTTTTAAATCCACACTTGGGCCACAGGATTATTAGAATATTCTGACCAAAAGTTCCAAACCCTGATAAAACCATGTCTGTTGTGAAAACCAAATCTTAGGTTTTCTTCCAAATTATCCTTCATGGCCTGCTGCAGAAATTTCCTGGGACAAATGCTTCTGTTTCCATGGCTGGCCTTGAGGGGGTCTATTAGACTCCACTTTCTGTACTTATCTCACCTTACACACACACTCTATGCATATGTGTGTGAG